GTGATTGGTCAGGTGGTTGATGACTCTTATCTGTGATTGGTCAGGTGGTTGATGACTCTTATCTGTGATTGGTCAGGTGGTTGATGACTCTTACCTGATTGGTCAGGTGCTTGATGACTCTTATCTGATTGGACAGGTGGTTGATGACTCTTATCTCTGATTGGTCAGGTGGTTGATGACTCTTACCTCTGATTGGTCAGGTGGTTGATGACTCTTATCTGATTGGACAGGTGGTTGATGACTCTTATCTCTGATTGGTCAGGTGGTTGATGACTCTTACCTCTGATTGGTCAGGTGGTTGATGACTCATCTCTGATTGGTCAGGTGGTTGATGACTCTTATCTGATTGGTCAGGTGGTTGATGACTCTTATCTGTGATTGGTCAGGTGGTTGATGACTCTTATCTGATTGGTCAGGTGGATGATGACTCTTATCTGATTGGTCAGGTGGTTGATGACTCATCTCTGATTGGTCAGGTGGTTGATGACTCTTATCTGTGATTGGTCAGGTGGTTGATGACTCTTATCTGTGATTGGTCAGGTGGTTGATGACTCTTACCTGATTGGTCAGGTGCTTGATGACTCTTATCTGATTGGACAGGTGGTTGATGACTCTTATCTCTGATTGGTCAGGTGGTTGATGACTCTTACCTCTGATTGGTCAGGTGGTTGTTGACTCTTATCTGATTGGTCAGGTGGTTGATGACTTACCTGATTGGTCAGGTGGTTGATGACTCTTATCTGATTGGTCAGGTGGTTGTTGACTCTTATCTGATTGGTCAGGTGGTTGATGACTCTTATCTGATTGGTCTGGTGGTTGATGACTCTTATCTGTGATTGGTCAGGTGGTTGATGACTCTTATCTGATTGGTCAGGTGGTTGATGACTCTTATCTCTGATTGGTCAGGTGGTTGATGACTCTTATCTGATTGGTCAGGTGGTTGATGACTCTTATCTGTGATTGGTCAGGTGGTTGATGACTCTTATCTGATTGGTCAGGTGGTTGATGACTCTTATCTGTGATTGGTCAGGTGGTTGATGACTCTTATCTGATTGGTCAGGTGGT